TGAGTTGTTGTTTTCCGTATCCGTATTGTATTGAGAAAATTGAGCTTTGGTGTTATTCTGGGGCTCTCTGTTATGTAATTTATGTTTCAGTCTCCATGTTATATTTGTTTTCTCTGTTTTGTTGCTATTTCATTATATTCGTACATGTTTTTAGTGAGTGCCTTGTTATAGCCTCGTCACTATCTCGTCAGAGTTAGGCTCGACACTTACATAGTACATGGGGTCGGTTGTACTTATGCTACACTTCTGTACTTCTTGTGCAGATTTTGGTGTAGGTCCCAATAATAGTTAGTGGAGGTTTGATCGGATTAGCTGATCACAGAGACTTGAGAAATAATTGCATGGCATTCGCAATCCTGAAGCCCCATTTCTTATCTAGTTCTACTTTTTATTTTTGTTTCAAACAATTGTATTTTCATTCCGACTTTGGTTGTAGAACTGTTAGAATGCTCATGTACACGTGATACCAGATTCTGAAATTTAATTAGTCAGCGTTTGGAGTTATTATATCTTCTTTTGAAACTCTACAACATTAATATTCGTTAAATTGCTTTCAAATTTTGTTTAAAATGATTAATTGTGTACTTATATTGGCTTTCCTAACAAGTGGACGTTAGGCGCCATCACGACCACCCGATGGGGATTTCGGGTCATGACAGGAACTTAATGAGAGAACCCTCTTGCAACCTAATGAGACTAGACTTGGATTCACAATGAATCCGAACCAGTATAAACATTTGGTGTCATTTACTTTATGCAAATTACTTTTGTATTTACTTTGCATCTATCTCACATCTAGATCTAGTCGACTAACTGGAAAATTAGTCAACTACTTAGTTATGAAAAGAACGGATAACAATTCACCCCCTCTTGTAATTTCAATTGGTATCAGAGTAAGTCTCATACCTTTACTCTTTTGCTTAACAACTAGTGAGAAAAGATCATATCAAACAAAGTAATTGTAGGGGCACTATTTCAAGAAGTGACATCTCTAGTAAGGACACCATATTTCATTGGACAACACTTTTCACATTGGAAAGTTCGCATGAAAATATATATAAAGACCTATGATGTCAAAGTATAACGTGTAATCAAAAAGGGATAATACCCAATTCCAGCAGCAAAGTCTGACAAGAAAACTGATGGACAAACATCTACCGATCCGGTATATATAGATGACTACTCTGATGAACAAATGGTAGTAATCCAAGTCAATGCTGAGGCATGATATCTTCTATACAATGCCATAAGAGGAAAAGAATACGAGAAGATCTCAAGCTGTGATACGGCCAAAGAAATATGAAAGTTACCTATGAAGGAACGATCAAAGTAAAGGAAACAAGGATAAACTGTTGATCCATGATTATGAACTCTTTCAAATGAAAGAGGTGAATCCATTGAAGAAATATTTGCTCGATTCAGCAATATCATTGGGGTTCTGAAAGCTTTTAGCAGGCCATACTCTAGTGAACAAGTTCAAAATATTCTAGGAAGTCTGCCCACTACATGGTTAATAAAAAGTAGTTATCCTCGAATCTCAAGACTTGGACAAACTAAAGTATGATGAGTTACGTGGATACCTCAAAAACAAAAACATCTGCTTTCAAAACCTCGATTGAAGGATCTGAGGACGATAACGACGATGAAGCATAGGCTTTGGGAGAAAAAATTGCTATGTTCTCAAGAAATATGAATGGAGTGATGAGAAGATATAGAAATATCAAAAAAGGAAGAATGTCTTCCAGAAGAACTAGACAATACAATGAACAAGACAAAGGTTATAGGTGAAGGTGTTTCTGGAGCAAAAACGAAACTGACAGCTTTGCCCAAAAATATTATCAAATCTATGATCGTCAAGGGAAGGAATCCTAACACAAGGAGTAAGAGAAAAGTAGCTCTAGAAGAGATGATGAGGCAAACAAAAGGAGGAGGTAAGAAAAGCGAAAATTCAGGTTGCGCAATAAACTTGGTGTAGATCCCATAGATCTTGAGGCTGAAGAAGAGGAAGACGAACAAGAGGTTCCTCTGAAGAAAAAAAGGAAGGTCAGTTCATATGATACTTCCTAAAAGAAGAAGTAAGTGAAAAAGAAAACAACTCCTAAGAAGAAGAAAGAGATGAATCTTGATGAGCCAAAATCAAGCTAGAGAAATAAAAGAAAAACTGAGAAGAAGGTGTCAACTATGGGGAAATAAAGGTGGTTTAGTTTGCAAATGAATCCGAAGAGCAAGGTAATTGACCCTGAAGTTGTTATGTATAAACTTTTGGAGAAGTTAGACTTCCAGGAATGGACACACTAGTTCTTTCGCCCACCTCCTATGGTAGGGAAAGATGAAGTCTTGGATATTCTATATTAACTTCACTCTGGTGGATGAAACTACTATGACCACAATAGTGAAGGGTCTTGACCTGGTTTTCGGTGCTACTACTTTGGAAGAAAATTTGAAGGTTCCTGTTGAAGTGTTTGAAACCTATGTCAAAGGAGAATGCCCAAACGTTAGAGAGAAAGAGGATGATAAGCACTTGACTGTCAAGTAATCATAGAGAAGAGAGAGTAAGAAAGCACGAAAAGTGTCTAAGAGTGAGATGAGGGAAATTTACAAACTGTTTTTTAAGTTTGTGAACAACTGTGTGCTTCCCAGATATCAGAGAAGACATGAGGCTACTTACATGGATTTAGCAGTGATGGAAGTTCTCGATCAAAACAAGCCACTGAATCTACCTTCCATGATGATCAAGCATATGTCTATGATGGCTGATCCTCTGAAGGAGGCACATGCTTGCCTTATGGGTTCTTGCTCTATGTGGTGTTTGAAAACTGCTAGGTTCATGTAACTTCTGAAAGAAAGGAACTAACAAGGACATGTTTGATATAGATGAGTGTGAATTTTTTTATTGTGAATAATGTCTTCCAAGAAAAACTTTTCCACAAAGTAACAGTCTGATTTCTTAGATGCTCAATAACTTGAAAAATCTTGAGAAAGAAAAAAAGAAACTCAACAAGGAGATTGAATTGTTGATGGTTGAGCTAGCCTCTTCTACAAAGGAGAACAAGAAATTTGAAGGAAGAGATGTGAAGGGAACAAATAGCTGCTAATGCTCTCTTTGACAAGCTTCTGGAGCCTGTGTAGAAGCAACCCTCTTCCGATTAATGAACTTGGTCCTTAGTCCCTCCTAGCCCAGTTCAAACCTAGTCAAGCTTTGCATTGAATTTCTAACTTTTTGTACTCTACAGGTTTGATCTTTCTTTTTGTGGAATTTTAATTAGGTTTTTGTATGTTTTTTTTTGGTTCGCGCCTAAAAAGGCTTAATATGGTGTATCAATTAAAATTTTATATTTTTGGTTTGAAAAATATTTAAGATGGCTAATATCCTTAGAATAATTATTTGACCTCTTGACTTATGTACATTAATGTTGTAGTCCAAGTGGCCATGATGCTTAATCTTCACTTTTGCCTCTAATAACTGATGCTTTAGTTTTCGATGATGCCAAAAGGGAGGAGTTAAGGAGGTGCACATAATGCTAATCAATAAACCTGATTCTTGCTTAAAATTGATCTATTTTGGGTTGACTGTTTGACTTTGTTCAAAGGGTTTATGCAAAAAAGTGCAAATAATCAATGGTACTCCTGCTCGAAGAATGTGTTCATACCACAATAGTAGTTGAAGAAAAGGCTAAAGGTGAGCTCGGGGAAGGAAGAAAATGAATTTCGAAATACCGAAAAGGAGGAACAATTCCTTTTCTGTCTTTTTATATCCGTAGTGGAATAAGCCTTGGCATCAACGTCTTTCTATGAGGAAGAGTCGAAATAGAATCAACTTAAATTCGGGACCGCTATTCGAAATCTTAGTGAAATACTGGATTTCTTATCCCATGCCTGCGACGGGGGAAGTTAACAGTACCCGACGACATTCAGGGATGGATGTAGTCTATCGGGCGTTGTAGTGGAACTTTGGTTTTATTTAGCAAGGAACCGTTTCACTCGGCGTCGAATAACCAAGCTAAAAGCTTTAGGCATCTTTTGAGCATGTTCAGCTTCCAAAATTCTTGGAGTCCTACTCTACTACATAATCACAGAAAGAAAATTGTTGTTGTTGTTGTTGTTGTTGTTTTTGTTGTTGTTGTTGTTGTTGTTGTAGGGCTTAAGGTACTAGAGTGTACAATCCCTTTGGTTATTGAATTATAACCTAAAAACTGCTCTTGTTGTACAATAAAGATTGAGGAAAATCCTACATGGATAGGTCGTGATTTTTACTTCCCTTTAGCAAAGAAGTTTTCCATGTAAAATTACTTGTATTCTTTAATTTCTACACTTTACTTTCTGTTTGGTTCCAAAATATACGGATTAAACGGCGAAAATCGGGCAAGATCGATAAAAATTTCCCTCCCCTTCTCATGTCTAGATGCATTCTAATTAATTGTTTTTCACAAGTATCTACTTATTTTATTATGATGTCAATGTTAATGATTATATTTTGTAATTTATATTTTCTCTTTATCAGCACATTGCAATAGGGAAGAATCCTCCCTAACAAAGTTTACATCATTGCAATGTACAGTCAGTATCATTCATTTAAGCATTTTTCCTATAAAAGTTGATCTAATTAAGTGGGTGTTAAGCTGACTTTTATAAGAAGATTAGAGCCAATAGGAGTAGCTAAACGCCATTTGAACATAAAACATTTCAATTTAGATGGCTGATCGTAATGGGATTGTCTGTCCATTTCAATCAGGAGTTGATCACCGGATAACCCTCATTTTTGTGGTTTCTTATAACTATTATATATAACGTAATTAACCCTCCACCTGCATTTTTTGCGGAGATGTTTTATTGGGCATAAAATTTAAGAATAACGAGAGATTTTTAACACGTGGTCTTAAATATCTAATTGAAATTTATGTACTTATAAAATTTTGTGATTGAGGATAAATGAGAAGTTTGAAGTTACATGTTGAATATGACATTTAATAAAGCAAGATCTTAAAAAAAAAAAACAGTACCTGCATTAGACCCTTGACACAATCAGTGGTGAGTTTGACCTCAAGATTAGGATCCTCAGCTTGCTGCAGCAAAACATCCACCATGTCTCTTGGCACAAAATTCTTCTCTCCCCTATTAGCCTTGTGATCATCTAGCACAAAATTATGAAATTTGTCGAAGTTCCTATGCAACTCCTTCATTTGCTTGACATAACCCTGCAAATCCAAGAAAGCAAGCCAAGGTATCCAGTCCCCAATATTGATCACACCATTAAGCAAAAACCACTTATCAAGCATATCCTGCAATTTTTCCAAAGTTACCATTGAACGTTGACCAGGTGACTCGCTAAAATATTTCCCACTCAATACTGTTCTACTTATACTTGTAAGAGTGTACCGAGTTAAATGGTCTCTAAGAAGAATTGGCTTCCCCGAGAGAGCAAAAAGGCGTGAAATCAAATTATGCCTTTCCTCTATGCGAATGTACTCAAACGAATCCAAACGTTTAGGATTGAAAATCTCGTTGAGATAGATCCTCCTTGCTTGTCTCCAAAAGGGTCCATAACGTGCCCATGTCATGTCGCAATAATTATAAGCAGTGTATTTACCAGCAGCAAGCTCAGGGCGAGAAGCCCAAATGGCATCATTTGTTTTCAAGAATTCTCTTGCCATATCTGGGGAGGATGCAATAAGGACATTGCGCAAACCGAACTTTAGTAACATTAAATCTCCGTATCTTTTTGCAAGTTCGTGAAGGGATCTGTGAGGGGTGGAACCAAGAAGATGTATATTGCCAGCAATAGGCCATGGTTTTGGACCTGGTGGAAGATTTTGTTTACGACGAGGACTATGGAGAAACTTTGAGAGAAGAACTAATGTAAGAAGGCCTGCTAATGCTAAAACTACCCAGGAATTCTCCATGTCTTGGTGGTGGAGATGTGTCTATCGACTTGGTATTTTTATGCAGGCTGAAGGGGTAGGCGAGTAAGGTCAACGCTTTGGGGGCCTCGTTTTCTAATAATTATTACTGGAGTAGTAGTAAATGTATAGATTGCCTTTTACTTTTTTAAACGATACTAAATACTCTATCCGTTCCAATTTAGATGAGTTAGTTTGATTTGACATAAAATTTAAGAAAACAAAATTAAAATTTGTGACTTAAGGGATAAAAACTTTGTGGGGTCATGATATTTGTGTGGTTATAAAAACTTTTTATTAAGGATAAAATGAAGAGTTTAAAGTTGAATTATTTCTAAATTTAAAAACATGTCATTTATTTTTGAACAGACTAAAAAAGAAAGTATTTCATCTAATTTGAAACGGAGAAAGTCCTCCAAGTAGGTTGTTTTGTCAATACAAGGTTTGAAGTGCATTGAACAAAATAAATTGTATGTTTTTTTTCAATTATTTTTAAGCATTGCAATTAACAAGCAAATTGAAGCAATGAAAACGTGTTTTGGCATCAACTTATAAACTTCAAGAATTATATTTTATTTTCTTTGTTTTTAATCTAAACTCTGTTTTCTTATATTATTTTACTTTATATATTATGAGAATTTCAATTATCAGCAAGAAAATATGAATTACTCTAAAAAGGAGCGATCTTGATAAATTTTAAAAAACAATAAAAAAATCAAATTGAAAAATATTGAACAGATTTCTTTAGATAAACATCACTAATCTAGTTGACTTAGATGATAATGAAACCCCAATAAAAAGGAAAACTTTTTCAATAATATTGTACTTAAGATCAACAATGTTTCAAGAAATATTAAATAGATTGATTATATTATCAAACAAAAACCATTATATTAGAAAAATCAATTATAATAAAAGTTATTAATAACTATGCATCTCTAAGAACTTTAAAAGGACTCTAAACAAAACTACAGGAGGAGGCTTTACAAAAAATTTAACCTCTAATTTAAGTTTCGCTTTAAGCCACAATATTTGATTAGCCGCCTATGCTTTTATAGTCGAGATGAATGGCTTTAATTGAGCACTGTGTTAGGTAGAAAATGCTGACACGACTTAATTATTTCAGCCGCCTTTGACAAGTTGTTTGCCAAATGATTTCCAAATGAATTTTCAAATTATCATGCAATTCCGGAGTACTACTTTTTGTTCTATCTCATGTATAACGGCTATTGATGACCTACTTTTATTTGGAAATATCTTATTTTCGAGAGCACCGGATGTCACGACCCAAAACTCAATTAGTTGTGATAACACCTAATCCAAGTCAAGTGAGATCTACTGAGAGAAATAAAGCTAATATAACTAAACTTTTATACAAAGAAATCTCCAAGGACTAATAGTACAAATCATGAGCTTCTAAGATTTAGAGTTTACAAAGCTACTATGAAATAAATACATCATCTGTTTGAAATGTACATAAACAGATCTTTATAAATCTAAAGCTACCATGAACAAGAGACAGCTACAACCGGAATGCAGGTTCATCTTCAATGCCAGCTCCCGCCATACATGGCAATATCATCTCCAAAATCTGCACGCAAAGTGCAGAATGTAGTATGAGTACAACCGACCACATGTACTCAATAAGTAACAAACCTAACCTTAGGTTGAAAGCAGTGACGAGCTTGAAGAAACGGTCAGAGTCCAAGACTAATAGCCAAGAACAACTCACAACAATTTAATAAAGCAATACAAGTAGTAACTCAAAGATATGATGCTCAGCTAGCTCACAGTTACGGAAATAGGCATGTTTTTCAGGTATAATAGTAAAATCCAAATCTTTCACCGAAATCACCAAAGTATGAGTATATAAGAAAAACTAAGATTTTTCCCGAAAAAACTTTCAACAATAGATAAGATATTTCATTCTCAGATAGCATGAGGAAAGCGCATCTCTACGCCTACATGTCAATGTGCGTGTGAAGTCATGAATGTCACAATACTGTGTAGCATGAGGAAATGCATCTCTATGTCTACATGCCAAGTATGCATGTCAAATGTAATGCACCACAGTGATGAACTCATGTACTCACACTCTCAGAGTACTCAATCTCATTGTCTCACGCTCAATCACTTGGCACATGCGCTCACTACTGCTATGTCAGACTCCGGAGGGGCGGATCCTACCCGAGCGCTAATATAAAGCCAATCTGGCCTGCTGCGACGTGTAGCTCAATCCCATAATAATAAAGCCTATAAGGCCTGCTGCGGCATGCAACCCGATCCATATAACAATAATATATATAAAGCCAATATGACCTGCTACGGCATGCGGCCCGATCCAAAATATCACTCATAATATGACTCTCAGCCCCCAACTCAATCATCAATCTCTCCAGTCTCTCGGGCTCACAAATCTCATGCCAATCAGCCCAAACAATGATAATATGATGTGACAACAAATGATAACAGAGACTGAGATATGATATGAAAATGAATGAATATGATTGAGTATGTAGTTGCAATTTAAGCAAATAACTCAACAGCAGATATAACATCATTGGGTCCCAACAGAATAAGCATATACCCTAAATATGATTTCTAACATGATTCATAGCTCATATAATCAAACAAGTAGGGAAAACATGGAGGTAACAGGATATAACAACAAAACAAGTCTGGTCATAGTTTAATAGCCGACTAAAATCATGATTTGCTCAGTGCACGCCCACACGCTCGTCACCTAGCATGTGCGTCACCTCAATACATCTTTTATAACACTGTAAATACCCTCAATTCCACGTTTAGATATGTTACTTACCTCGAACACGCCGAACCCAATACCGAGCAAGCCAAACAATACTCTAAAAATGCCATCCCGCGCATACCGACCTCTGAGCGGCTCGCAACTAGCCAAAAGAAACTCAAGAACATCAAATAATGCCAATTGAAACAAACCCAATCAATAAAAGTGGAATCTTTAATCAAAAGCCCAAAGTCAACCAAAAAGTCAAACCCGGGCTCGCGCCTCCGAACCTGACAAAACTCACAAAATCCGACAATTCATTCAATTATGAGTCCAACCATACTAGTTGCACTAAAATTTGACTCTCAATCGATGTTCAAAACCAAAAAATTCACTTTATGAAATTTTAGACAAAAAAAGCCCAATTTCTCTTTGCCAAAAACGAAGATGAAATCATGCAATAAAATTAAGACCGAGTAGAAAATACTTACCATATTCCATGTGGTGAAAATTACCTCAATCCGAGCTCCATAGCTCCAAATATATTAAAATGGTCGAAACCTCCAAAAATAGAGTACTTATAATCACTGGACAAATTAATGAATCGCGATCACGAAAATACCATCGCGATCGCGAAGAAGAAAGATGCACTGCCCCCAAAATACTCTACGCTTTCGCGAGCCTCCTCATGCGAACGTGATGCCCACAGATGCCAAATCTTCGCGAACGCAGACTGACCCACGCGAACGTGGAAGAGGAATCACCAGCGCCCAGCTCTCAGCTTAGCTCTATACGAACGCGACCTCTCCTATGCGAACGCGTACTGTAACCAAAAGCTACGTGAACACGGTCATCCAATTGAGACCACGATGAAGAAAGTGCCCAGCTCCAGATTTTCATCTATGCGATCACACCTCCACCTTTGCGATCGCGAAGAACAATTGGGGCACCAGACACCAACAGAAACCAACAATGAAAATATGAAGAAAATGGCCCGAAATCAATCCGAAACACAACCGAGCTACTCGGGACCCCGTCCGAAAATACCAAAAAGTCCCATAACATAACACGAACATACTTGAGGCCTCAAATCACACATAACAAAATCGAAACGATTAATTACACCTCAAATCAAGCTTAATGAACTTTTGAACTTTCAACTTCCAAACTCATGCCAAACCATATCAAATCAACCCGAAATGACCTCAAATTTTGCACACAAGTCCCAAATGTCATAACAAAGCTATTCCCATCCCCGGACCCATAATCTGAACCAGATATCATCAAAGTCAACTTTTAGTCAAACTTATGAACATTCCAAACCTTCAAATTTCCAACTTTTGCCAAATAGTGTCAAAACCTTCTAGAAATATCCAAGTGTAAATTCGGGCATACGCCCAAGTCCAAAAGCACCATCCGGACCTAACGGAGCCATCAAAACTCCAATCCGGGGTCAAATACATAAAAGTCAAACTTGGTCAACTCTTCCAACTTAAAGATTCCTGGTTGAGAATCATTCTTCCAAATCAATCCCGAATCACCTGAAAACCAAAACTGATGATTCACACAACTCATAATACATCATATGAAGCTACCCAAGACTTCAAATAGTTGAACGAAATGCAAATGCTCAAAAAGACCGGTCAGATCGTTACATTCTCCCCAACATAAATATACATTCGTCCTCGAACGTGCCCAGAGTCATACCCAAGCCATCAAATCACCATGTAACCTTACCATGCACAAACCCAGTGTTGCGCCCCTCTTTCTCTCGAAAGCAGGTTTCGACATGTGACAACTCTTTAAATGGGTTTTAAAAGAGGAGAGTCGCCACCTAACAATTTTTAAGGTGCGCTAGGGCACCTATTTGAAAATAACTTTGTTTGATTAGTCTATATGACCAAAGATAGGGTAAGGGCTCAATTACCTCAAAGAGAAGGTTTTAGGCACTCTTCGAGGTCCACAACTGTGGGTCCCAGCCGAATTTTACACTATATAGGATTGTCGGATTATAATTGTCCTAAGCGATCATATAAGTGAGGAAAGATAAGGAATATAAAGGTTCTATTATGAACAAGTGTAAAGAAAATTGGTCAACAATTAAACTATATAGATAATCAGTACAAGCCTTTAGATGTTACTTGGTACAACTTAATTATTATAAGTTCAATAACTAAGTGTGAATAATAAACATATAAAGGAGGGGATCCTAAGATTTTTAGCCTAAAGGATCACCCCGTGCAACATAAATAATACTTCGCAACTCCCTTAGGGTATGGGTTGCTCATATTATTCATCGGGCACAAACTATCATCTCATGCAACCCTATTACTATGT